CAAAAGACAAAAATCACATGATCATCTCAACAGATGCAGAAAAAGCTTTTGACAAAGTCCAGCACTCTTTCATGATAAAAATCTTACAAAAAATGGAACAGATGGCCTCTATCTCAATCTGATAAAATCTATCTATGACAAACCAATAGCCAACATTACAGTAAGTGAAAAAAAGTGAAAGCTTTTACTCTAAAATCAGGAACAAGTCAAGGATGTTCTCTGTCACCACTCTTATTCAATATAGTTCTGGAAACATTAGCCAGAGCAATTAGACAAGAGAGGAAGTAATAGGAATAAAGGTAAGAAAGGAAGAAGTTAAATTAGCACTATTCACAGATGACATGATATTGTACATAGAGGACTGCAAAAACCAACAGGCTTCTAAACCTAACAAGCAAATTCCGCAGCATAGCTGGATACAAAGTCAATACTCAAAAGTCAATAGCATTCTTGTACACAAATAACAAACTCACAGAGAAAGAAATCAGGGAAACCACCTCTTTCATGATAACATAAAAAATGAAATACTTAGGAATCAAACTAATAAAGGAAGTAAAAGATTTGTACTTTGAAAATTACATTACTCTGAAAAAAGAAATTGAAGAGGAATTCAGAAAATGGAAAGACATATCTTGCTCATGACTAGAAGAAGCAACATGGTGAAAATGGCCATACTCCCAAAACTGTTATACAGATTTAATGCAATCTCAATCAAAATCCCATTAGCATAACTCACAGATCAAGAGACAACATTCCTAAATTTCATATGGAATCATAAGAGACCTAGAATAGCAAAGACAATCCTGGGTAACAAAGTTTTCAGGAGGCATCACAATCTGAGACTTTAAATTATACTACAAAGCTGCTATAATAAGATCAGCATGGTACTGGGGGAAAAAAAACATACCTGAGGATCAATGGAACAGAACCAAAGATACAAATGCAACTACAGACACACTCAGCCATCTTATCTTTGACAAAGGGACAAAGTATGTTCACTGGAAGAAAGATAGTTTCTTTAATAAGTGGTGTTGGAAAAACTAGCTTTCTACATGATGAAAACTTAAACTAGACCCATGTCTATCACCGTGCACTAAACTAAAGTAAAAATGGATCAAAGATCTAAATATTAAGACAGAAACACTAACAAGGACATAGGGGTAGGCCAAGAGTTCATGAACAAAACCCAAACTGTTAGGGAAATACTTCAAAGACTCAACAACTGGGATCTCATCCTGTTAAAAAGTTTTTGCACATTGAAAGAAATCACCAACAAAGTGAAAAGAAAACTCACAGATTGGGAAAATATTTTTACCAACTGTCCCTTAGACAAAGAACTTTTACCTAGAATGTATAAAGAATTTTAAAAAATCAGATCCCCCAAATTTAAAGACCCAACCCAAAAATGGGCATCTGACATGAATACACAATTCTCAGATGAAGAGATTCTCAGGCAAATAAATATATGAAAAGATGTTCAACATCATTGGTCATTTGAGAGATGCAAATTAAAACTACACTGAGATATCTCACTCCAGAAAGAATGGCTAACATCAAGAAATTAACCAATAACAAATGATGGCTGGGATAGCGGGGAAAAGGAACCCTTCTCCATTGTTGGTGGGAGTGTAAACTGGTACAATCACTGTGGAAATCAGTGTTGTGATTCCTCAAAAACCTAAGATTAGAGGTTCCATTCGACTCAGTTATTTCCCTTCTGGGTATTTTCTCAGAAGAATTGAAAACATCAGACCACAGTGATATATGTGCACCCATGTTATAGCAACACAATTTGTAATAGCTTAATCTTCAAAACAACCTAAATGCCCATCAACTGAGGAATGGATAAAAAAGATTTTTATATAATGAAGTACTACTCAACCATAAATAACAATAAACTCAAGGCTTTTATGGGTAAATGGATGCAACTAGAAACCATACTCATAAGTGAAATAAATTAGACTTTCATGTATAAACACTGAATTGTCTCACTAGTGTAAAAAACTGAAAGAGTAAATAGGTTCCAAAAGTTACAATAGAGTAAAATGAAAAGAAATTATTCAAAGGGAAATTTTATTGTCTGATCAGTCTTGCATGACTGTATCCTGGTATCCTGAGCAAGTGTAACAACCATTCTTCAATGCCTATTATCTTGCTTTAAAATTCTACATTGCCATTGTTTTTCTTGTTGTTATTGTCATTTTGCTTTTGTTGTTTTTTTGTTAATTGTTTGCTTCTTGATTTCTCTGTTTTTTCTCTTGTTTTATTTATAAATAAATAAAAAACAAAAACAAACAAACAAAAAAACCCAAAAAATTAGAGGCTCTAGACTGACTTCTGCCCCTGGCCAGATCCAAGAATCCAGGTGTCACCTCTGGACCCTTACCCAAGGACAGAATCTCAGATTCTTGTCACTGTCTGATGGGCTCTGATTTATTATTTTCCCAAGGTCAGTATTTTAGTGGAGGATGTATTCGTGGAGAGCTTAATATTAGATGACCATTAAATTACTTGCTAATTAAATCGTCACTGTTACATTGTTTAGTAGCTTAATCAATTTATCCTGAGTCTTAAAGCCTGGCACCCTCAGGGTGTTATTCTGGGTTTCAGTCTCTGTGCCCTCGTGGGTTTCTGAGAGCTTCTGCTCAGCTTCCTGGGGCTGCTTCCACCCATCTCTGGCTCCCCGGGTCCCCGTGTTGGCCACATCGTTGTCAACAGAGGTCTATGCAGGGGCACTCTGGGTGATCCAGCACTCAAGCTGCAGGTCCTGGTGACAAATCTGCTTCCTGTCGAGTCAGCTGAAGGCATAAATCCTGCAGTAGTTATGGCAGGGAAAACTCAGGCTCTGGAGCCAGTGTCCTGTGTTCCCAGCCTGGGGCTGCAACATACTGAGTGATCTTGGATTTGGATTTTTAATTGCTTAGGATTTCAGTTTCACCATCAATCCAAATGGAAAAGCAGCACTTCTGCCGAGGTAATAGGTGGGTTTCATGAAAGTGCATGCTAGCCACTGCCCAGGAAAGGTTTCCTCTACACTGCTTCTGAGAGAAGTGGCAGTACCTTCATGTGACCCATAGTTTCTGCCCACCGCCCTTTCTCCTCTCCCCGATGACTTTGCAAGCCCAGCCTCATCCTTGTCTTTTTAAATTAATTAATTAATTAATTAATTTTGCTATCGGGGATTGAACTTATAACCTTGCACTTGCCAGGCAGCACTTGTGCCACTGAGCCAAATCCCAGGCACCTCGTCCTGGTCTTTTGTCCAACTCAAGCCCTTGCAGTGCTCTGAGATTTGGGGACATCACCTATTCCTTAGTCTCAATTTCCAGCATCAGAAATGACTTAGCCCTTGTTCCTCACACGACATCAGGCACGTGGAGAAAGACCCCTGCAGGGTGTGGAGCATTTTGTGTTACACAGATTAAACCCAAGTGTAAGACATGCTTGAGTCACTGGTGATGGAAAGTCTCTTGGAAAGACATAAGGTCAACATCCTTCAGCTCCCCTGGTCGTTCACACAGGAGGATGAGTATAGCTGGGCACTGCGGCACACACCGCTATCTCAGCTCTCTAGGAGGCAGAGGCAGGAGGACCACAGGTTCCAGCTCAGTTTGGGCAATTTGGAGACTCAGGGAGGAAAAGGAAGAAGAGAAAGAGGAGAAAGAAGACAGTTATGAGAGGAGCAACACTGGCCACTGCCTCTCTGCTTCTCATCCGAAATGTGGCAGCTCTCTCGCCCTCCTACTCCTGTTCCTGCCTTGTGTGATGCATCCCCATCCTCACTGGAGGGCACCTGTCAGGGTGCCTGATGTTGAACACTGAACATGCAAATAAACCTCTCCCCTTCATTCTTTGCCTGCCTGGGAACCGCATTACTGCAGTGAAAGCTGACTCACCTACGAGGGGCAGTGGGAGGTGCAGTTCAGTCCCAGGTTTCTGATCCCAAGCTGCTACTTCCCCTGGGAAGGCATGAAGTGCACTGCTCTCCGCTAGGGCGGGGCAAGAGGAAGAGGTAGCTTTCTCACCTCAGCTTCTGAGCCCACAGGAACCCACAGCACCCTGGCAGGGAGCAAGAAAACCAGGACTTCCCAGGAGTCAGGCCCCAGAGCGCACCGCTGCTCCCCATCAGTGCTGGACCGGAGCCTTGAATGGCTTCCCTGGGACCTGGGTCTCTGCTCTCTCTCCCAGCTTCTGTGCACTGCCCCTCCGTCATCAACTTCCGCCATGGCACTCAGGTGAATGAGATCCTCAGGACTATCTGGCCCCAGGGTTCTCCAACTCGAGAGCAAACTCAAGACAGGGTGAGTGGTTTCCCTGATGACACACATCGCCAAGCCTGCCTCACTGGCTGCCTTGTCCACAGCACCAATGCATGCACCCTCCTGCCAATGGGCCATTGTGCAACCCAGAGCTGGTGGAGAACATGGTCGGCTCGTGCACCCTCCTTGTCCCCCAGTGACTCTCCCCACAGCTGCCCCTGCACCTGGCCCTTGAGCCTGACCACAGAGGCAGTGGAGTTTTGTGTATTATTAGGTATGATCAAAAAACAGTGGTGAACACTTAAATTTAAAATAAAGACTTCTTATAGTAAAATATATGCTGCCATTGATCCCCCTCAAAGCTCCCCCTTCTATCTCTCTGGATGCTTTCTGAAGCAGTTCTGGAAGTTCTCTTTTGTGTCTTTAGTGTGGGAAGTGACTACAACACTTACCTTTAAGGTCATTTTTACTTTGGAGAAGCGCCAGAAACCACCAGGTGTTGTGAGGACACACAGTCACATTTTTGCGCGTCTGCTTTTGCAAAGCTGGAGGGTGCTTAGCAGCAGCGTTCTCTATAGATGTTTTCCCAGCTTATAAAGACACTCATAAAAGAAGACTTCCAGAACTGCCTCAGAAGTGGCAAGAATGATGGGATAAGTGTGCTCCAAGTCAGGGAGTATTTCAAAGGAGGAGGCTTGATGGCGATGTGTCTTTCATTGTAATACATTTATTAAACTTTTATTTAAACATTCACCATCCTTTGTGATTATAGGTTGCTGGGAGACAATACTGTGAGTTCCTGATGCCTCAGCTCAGGGCTCTCGCCTTCCAGGCTACCCTGGTTGAGGGAGGGAAGGGTCTGGGCAGATCTCCAACCTCCATTTGTGCTCTTTAAAGCAAAGCACAGCAGGATTATGTTTCTCTATTAAAGGCCTGCCCATGCTCAACTATTTCAAAGAAAAGAGACATTATGGTAGCTACTGTTGCTATCCAGTTGTCTTGTCGTGAAGGTACTGTGTTGTTTGCATTGTTTTGTTCTGATTTGCTTTGTTCTGTTCTTGTTTGTTTTGTTCTCTTTAAAGTAAAACATTTTTTTAAAAGCCTGCCCATGCGTTCTTTAGCAGAAGGCTTGATACATGATACTCATAGTTTGGCTTCCACTATGATTTCTGGCTCACAGTTCCTTCCCTGAGGCAGACTGCAGGAACCAGAATTGCTCTTCCCCAGTACAAGCCATAAAACTCTGATCTTCCCTGACTGTCTGCCTTGGAGCTGGTGGTGAAGATTCTGTAAGCTGTCTTGGCAGATAGCTGATAGTAGTCCAGCAAGCTCTGCCCCTGCCCAGGAGGAAGGGTGCTGCACCAGGGCCTCAGAGGACTCTGGACAGGCCGGTCTGGCTTTCCCCAGACCGTCTGCAAGATCAGATAACCCTGTTTATCCACTCAGATTTCTACATACTTGTCCTTGCTCTGATCATGCATGTGGCAACAGAGCATCCATAAAACCCCGCAAGGCAGGGTTGGGGGTTCCGAGGCCTGAGCCTGTGGGCAGTTCCCCTGGAGGCTGCACAGCCAGGTCAGGCGGAAGCTCTGTGTCTCTTCCTGGGTGCCCCGGGTCCCCTCTTTCCCACTGCAGCAAGGTGTGCATTTTCCTGAAACCTGGAACTGAGGACTAAGAGAACCCAAGTAGGAAGAGGAAACCCTGATGGACTGCGGTGGGACAGAGGCACAGGGAAAACAAACTGGGGCTCACAATGACATCCAGGAAACACTGGGGCTCGCTGGTTAGATGGGGAGGGGGTGAGAAAGGACTCTCGTTACTGTTGAAACAGTCACCACAGTCCTGCTTGGACTTTCTTTTTGATCTCTGTCTTCTGGGAACCTCCTTTGCACAAAAGTTCCACAGGATTAGATGCCAGAAACTTATCTGATGGTAAGAATCTCCTAGGCTGTTGGTTAAGCAGACAGAAGCAAAATCTCAAGCCCATCATCGGGAACTGGGGTCCTACAGGTTGGAGTGAGGTTAGAAATAACTATTCCCCCACTTTTTTTTTTAATCAGTACTGGGGATTAAACCTAGGACTTTCACTTTGAGTTTCATCTTCAGCTTTTTTTCAATTTTGACACAAGCTTTCTTTCAATCACCTACACTGGGTTTGAGTTTATGATCCTCCTCTCACAGCCTCCTGAAATGCTAGGATTCTAGGCCTGTGCTAACCTTGCTGCTTCAGAAATGAATATTCTTAAGAAGTATCCCGGGGCCCGGGAGGTTGTTGTGGTCGATGAACAAAACTAGGCAGCAACTGCAGAGCATGTAATTCTGCAACTTTCCTTTTATAACTGGGGAAACTGAGTCCCAGTAAAATTATGTCTAGGTGGAGGTAAATGGAGACTTGAATTCAAATCTTGCAGTCACAGGAAGTTAGAATTGTAGCCTGGTCCCTGAGCCGCCTGCTTCTCAGCTGCGTGATCCAGGACACTGGCTCTGGTCATCTTTCCTGGGATTCGTCACATTCATGGCCAGGGGTCCACAGGTTGAGGACAGCTGCGGTGTCCCAAGAGGGCACCTGGTGTTAATGCAGATGGGTGAGCAAGAGCAGCCTGAAGCGGGAACCCACAAGCAGGCGAGGCACCCTTGTGTAAGTGGCCCTTCAGGGGCACCAAGCCCCTTGCTCAGCCTAGGCTCCAGAGCACCTGGCGATTCCCTGAGAAAAAGACTTTAAAAGATGCAAAGGGTGGACAGGACTGTTACGCTTTAGATCTAACCTGTCACTACTGCCCAAGCGTGTGAAACAGAGCATGGGTGGTGAAACCTCGAGGACTCTAATTTCATCAGTGAATAAAACTATTGATGAGATTATAGTTTGCTGGCATTATTAAGCCATGAAAGAAAAAAGGATGAAGACTGGGCATGACACTGCATGACCAAATTTCAAGCACTGTGTGAGACGGAGGCAGGAGGATCACAAGTTCAAGTCTAACCTGGGCAATTTGATGACTTAATGAATCTGTCTCAAAATAAAAGATGAAAGTTGAGCTGGGGATGTAATTTAGTGCTAAGTATTCAAGTTCAATCTCTAGTACTGCAACAATGACAAAAAGAAAGAAAACAAGAGAGTGCAGAGAGAAAAGGGAGAGAGGTGGAGAGGCAGGGATGAGAGGAAGGAAAGAAGGGAGAGACGGAGGGAGGAAGGAAGGAAAGAAGAAAGGAAGGAAAGGAGGGAAGAGGGGGAAGGAAGAAGTCTAGCTGAAGGGAGTAGGTCACAGCACATGACCTTGGGGACCTCTGATCCACAGCCCCTTCCTTTCTGGCTTTCTTCTTCCTGTCTGCCCTGGGCTGAGCAGTGTTTCTGCACCGTGCCCTTCTGCCCTGATTCTCCCTCACTATAGGCCTAAAAGCTGAGGAGCAATGGAAAGCTGGCCACACAAGGGCTTAGCCTAGCGAACAAGCAGAGGAGGGCACAGCAGGCTTTGGGGAAGATGGGCAAAGGCCAGGCAAGCATGGAGAAAACAGGTCTCCTGAGGAGCCAAGGAGGAAGTATGGAAGAGAACAAGGGAACAAGAAATGAGCAGAGGCGCTAGAATAGTCAGGTAAGATCTTATCTATACACATGTATTCTACCCTCCAGGCAAAGGGCAGTCGCCAAAGACTGAGGATATCCATGGCACCGTCAGATGTGTGAGGCATTTTCGGGAACCTCAGACTCTCTACGTTTGCTCCCAGTTTCTGTCTTACCCACCTGTGGCCTAATTCTCCACCAGCAACTGGAGCAGAGCTTTCAAACTGGACTCCGAATCTCATCCCTCAACAGCCTTCAGGGGTCCCAGCTCACCCCTCACCCAGCACTGTACCCAAAGTGCTCAGGGAGGCCCAGTGTCCTCCCACATCTCCCCTCTCTACCTGAGCATCAGCCACACCCGGCAGGCACCTTCTGTCCCACAGAGCCAAGCCCCCTGCTGGGGTGCAGGTGCCCACCCTGCACCTCACCCCAGGCGGTCCTGACCAACCCTGCACTGCTGCCCCGTTGGGTGACTGGATTGTTCTCTGGAGTGCTCATGCCTCTCATCTCACAGTGCCCGGCACTCTGCTTCCTGTGTGTGTGGTAGCCGGTGAGCTCTGTGGCCCTGGGGACATGGACTCCGTTGTGGCCACACCAGTGGGGACAGTGGCTGAACAATGCTTTCCTCAGGAGTCCTTGGAGAGGTTGAGAGATGAGATTGTCTGGAGCCCAGGACGGGAGCCCTCCGCAGGTGGAAGCCTCCTTTCTTCCTACCTCGGTCCCCCTCCAAACCCTCAGGAAGTTCTCAGGGTACCTTTGACCTGCCACCAACTGACCCCTCGGGCAATATCACCTGCATGCCAGAACATGTTGTGAATCAGGACCATTTTGCAGGGAAAGCAAAAACACAAACATTTCCTTGAGCTGGACTCAGCTCTCCTGATTGAGGCAAATAGTGCCAATCTAAATTCCCCAGGTATGGGCTCGGCCTTGTGAAAGAAAACCTACCTTTTCCTACTTCCTGCAGTGTGGCTTGTGATTCCCGGAGACAGCAGTGTCACACAGAGGCCAAGGCAATCTTCTGTGGGGCATTTCCCCTCCTCCTTAGGACACAAGTGATTGCAGTAATTTGAGACATTATAAATTTACCTAAAGAGGCAGAATTGCTTTAGGACTGCCAAGGAGTTTAAAGGTCTCCCAGTTAACATGACTGCCAGGAGTTGAAAGGTCTCTTAGTTAACGTGTTTAACTCTAGATTGCTGAAGAAGTTTGCCAGGGACCCCGAACTTAAATGCAACATTAAGTGCTGAGGCGGTGTGACTGGAAAACATAGTAATTTAAGCGTTTTATTACAATAAAAGACACACTGTCATTAACCTGCCTCCAGCACATTATCCCCATCACCCTTGCCACTTTCGGAAGCAGCTCTGGAAGTCCTCTTTCATGTGCCTTTCGTTGAGCTGTTAGGCTGCTTTGATGTCCCAATTTAATTCAAAATGTGTATTTTTTATGGACATTTGACTAGGAAAGTGCCAGATCCCCTGAATCAAGATGGATGAGGACACACTGCTATGTTTTTATAATTCTGCTTTTCTCTTGATGGCATTACCAGAGGCAGTCACCATATTTTTACCACACATCGTAAAGACACTCAGATAAGAGGACACCCAGAGCTGCTCCAGAAAGCGGCAAGAGTGGGGTATTCGCGTTGAGGCAAGCGGGAGTATTTTGAGGAGGACCACTGGCAGTGTGCCTTTACTGTAACGCTTTTTAAAAATGTAAATGCCCACAGTATTTTTTGCTCAGCCCTTGCACACACGTGCTTTCGTAGCAAGAAGATCTTCCATGGTCTTCAGCTTCTCCAAATCAACCTGTGTAAAACGCTGCCTCAGAGTGACAAAGAACTCACCAAGGATCACAGGACTGATGACAGCTCAGCCTCGGCCTCCAGATCCTGCCAGGACTCATGACCACCATCTGCAAGGTCACTGGGGCTGCTAGGAGAAAAACAAGGAACAAATAAACACCCACAAATATAAGAGTTAGGAAGACCATGCTTAGAGGAGGAAAAACACAGCAATTACATCAAGCACGACTGACTCATGCTCAAGGGCAAACTTCTTTTTTCTTTCTGTTTTTTCTTTCTCTGTAGTTTCCAGATTTCCTATGAAAAAGCACTTAATTTTTATTTTTTAAAAAATCAGTTATTTAGGAAAAACAAAGTCCTGAAATTATATGCTGCTTCTCCACCCAGCCCTTTTTTTATATTTTCCTAGGTTCTTAAAAGTGTTTCTGTTGCTCCAGCTTTGGGGGAATCAACCCTTCTAGGAGACAGCATGAAATTTTAGCAAATTCATCCATTGTCGCTCTGTAAGCACTGAGTTGAAGATGTTAGTGGCAGGGCTTTGAAGGACACTTGTCATCCTCTGAATAGAAGCCTGTGGGCTTTGGAAAGGTGCCTTCTTCCTAGGGACAGTTTTGATGAGGCAAAGACTTCAGTTCACTTGAACTGCTGTGAAGTTTCCCTTCTTCGAGAACCAGCCCAAATTCAGCGAGTTCAATTTGCCCTTTGATATTGCTCGAGACAACCTTCCATTTTTTTCTATTCTTAACTTCAGTGAGGGTTTTAAAAATCTTAATTTTAAACTGCTGCTTCAGCCCGTGAGCCCAACATGAGAATTACTAAGTTCAGTATTTATAAGATTTCCCAGAATAATTTTTTTCCTAGAATAAACTTAATTGGCATACAAATTCTTGCAGTGAGCTGTGACTGGAGCCATAAATAGCTTTCGTGCCTTTTTAAATCCTGGGTGTGACCCTTCCCTAGTTCTGGCCTTAAGAAATGTTAATTCGATGTCCTTAATTTATAGGACTTCATCCTGGACTACTATTTGGACTCTGGGGCCAGTGTTTAGGTAGTTTAATAGTTCGTAACGCACGCATAAAGGGCTATATAGAATTATCCTCATCATGATGGAGAAAGACATAGCATTTTTATTTACCCATTGACATGTTAAAATTAAGCCACCAATCTACTCCTGTTTATATCTAGCTATGCTATCTTCTAGGCTTTCACACTAAAATTGTAGCGATAAAAATAATTTAAGTGGGTACAACTCGTTTGTCTTTAAATATATATATATCTGGCTTCAATCCCCAATTCTGTCTTTTACTAGTGGCGAGCTCTGGTCAGCTCACTGCCTTCTCTGGCCCTAATGTCTGAACAGGGCGGCCATGTGGTGAAGATTGTTGGAAATAAATATATTAGGCATTATTAGAACAGTGTGCAGCACATGTCATACATATAAATTCATTTTCCCCACTAATTCTGCCAGTGATGTCAATTTTATTCAGTTGAGCAAATATTAATTGAGCATTTAGTACATGCGAAGTCTAGAGATATCGACACTCCAGCCATGCATTGAAGATTCTCACTGTCTTCTAGGAAGGATAGAGCTTTGTCCTGCTCTAACCATGAAAACTGCTTTAACTAAGTAGTTCTTAGGAAAAGGAACACTACCTTCACCTGGAAGCTTTTCAGAAGAAGGTTACAGAGCCTCAAGCTAGCCCTTGAAAAATAAATTTTGGCCTTAAAGAGGAGCAAGATTTTTGGAAACCAAAGGTAGGCAAAGAACATGATAAGAACCAACAGTAAGAGCAAAGACAAGAACTGGGTACAGTGGCACATGCCTGTAATTCCAGGTTGGGAGAGGCCCAGACAGGAGGATCACCATAAGTTTGAGGCCAGCCTGGACTACCCAGTGAGTTCAAGGCCAAGCCTGGACTACACAACAAGATTCTGTCTCAGACAAACAAGAAAAATCACAAAGACAAGGAAAATAGAGTGTGGTGTAGTCAAGGGATACTGTCTGTCTCTTGCATCCATGGATTCCACACCTTCATATTCAACCAAGGATGGATTTAAAATATTCAGGAAAAAACTATGTCTGTACCAAACATGTACAGATGTCATTTTCTTTTCATTATTTCCTTAAGAATGAAGTACAACAGCTATTTATCCAGCAGTCACATTGTACCTGGTGTAATAAGTAACCTAGACATCACTGAGAGGAGGCAGAAGTATGTGTATAGGTTACACGCAAGCACTGTGCCATTTCCTGGAAGGGATTTGAACATCCATGGTCTGAGTATCCACAGGGTTCCTGAAGCCAGTGTAAAACAGGTTTCAAGTGACAAGGCCCAGCTGTGCTGTGGAGGGACCGATCTCCTTCAGAGAAATGACAGAGACAGAGAGAGAGACAGACAGACAGACAGAGAAAAGCAGAGAGACAGACAGATGGGGAAAGAGAGAGACAGAGACAGAGAGAGACAGAGAGATGAAGAGAGACAGAGAACCAGAGAGACAGAGAGACAAAGGGCAGACTGGGAATATCAGTGGTTCTTCAGTGTCACCTTGGCAGTGTCCCTGTGCCCTTAAGCCAGTCCGATTCTCCCAAAGGCAGGTCTTGGAACCCCAGAGAAGCTGGGTGTGTACCTGTTCACCCAGCCCTGTTTACTGCCTGCCAGGCCCGGACTGAGGCCCCCAGGAGTCGGCAGCGAGCTGGCCATGGCCCCTGCTCTCCCGGAGCTCCCACGCTGCTGGGACCGAGGGACTGTCGGAGGAATGAGTGGATGCAGTGTGGGATGCAGTTTTAGAGTATCCAGTTCGTGAAGGAAAGCACAGCCTGGGGAGCACTCAGTGATGTCTCCCCAAGGTGACGAGTGTGGTGACTATGTGTCACCTGCTTGTGGGACAGCAAGGTGCAGGGGGTTCAGGGCGGCGCAGTCTTCCCTGTCCGCTGGCCCCAGCATAGCAGACTGGCTGCTCACTCCCCCTGGGGTGCCGAGCTCTCCCCAGTCAGGTGCCGCACCTGTGGCCCCTGCAGCTCAGTGGAGTCGCGGGAGGCTCCTGGGACCGGCCCACCTCAGCCTGGGGCGTTGGCTGTTTGCCCATCAGACCTCGGGCCGAGGACCCCTGTTTGTTAGGGAAACATGCGCAGTACAGAGCCGAGGTCTTAATTCAGCTGGGGCGTAGCGCGGGTGGAGCCTGCTTGGCCTGGGGGTGGTGCGGGGCAGGGCCACTAGTGAGCTGGCTGCACGCGCTGGGGTTGGCACACGTGAACTTGGGGGGACAGATGTCAGCGCATGCTCTCATCCAGACCTCAAGTCTGTGACAAATTCTGACTCCCAGAGGGAAGAGACTTGGTAAAGGACCCCCTGAAAAGTGGAATCAGGAATGGATCACAGCCTGGCTGACCTGTGCCGGCACCTAGTTGACCACAGCAGACCCTGTGTTCAGCTTCCACGGCTTAGGACAGAGGAAACCAGGTGCTTGAAGACACTGTGACATGTCACACTGTGCTCTTACCCGAGGTTCACTGTAGAGTATCTGGAGCCCACCCTACAAGGGCCCTGCAGGAAGTATTTCTACTGCCCAGGCAAGATGAGGACAATAAAAGTGTCCCCAAAAGGAAGGCTCCCCTGCCTCCACGAGAGTGACTTCCTGTCACCTTCCTAGCTTACCCTGTCAGGGCTAAACCAGCCCCTGCCCTCAGCTCCTGTGTTAAAGTCCTGACCCCCAGTCCTTGACAAGGGACCTTCTTGAGAGTTAAGGCCTTTACAGTGAAGTTATTCAGGTAAAATAATGTGTTGTGGGGGGACCCTAATCCGATATGACCGGTGTCCTTATAAAGAAGGGGAAACCACCTGAAAGAGCCGAAGACACTGTGTTATGCAAAAGAGATGCAAGGGCACTCATGTTTACAGCAGCACGGTTCTCTGTGCTGAATCTTGAAAGCAGCCTACATGCCATCAACAGATAACATAACATATATGTATGTATACTTTGTAACATATACATATATATGTACTTATATGTATATGTATGTATATATATGTATGTATATGTGTGTATACCATGTTACATATATAAATATATATTATATATGCTATAAAGAGGGATAAGCTTCAGTCATTTGTAGGAAAGTGGATGCGCCTTGAGACTATAAAGCTTAGAAATAAACCAGACCCATCATATATATATGTAACATGGTTTCTTGTAGATGAGAAACCAAAGTAGAAATCAATCAAAGAGCAAAATAAAAGGCAGATAGTAGGGAGCCAGCTCTTTTGCAAATGGGAAGGGGACCAGGAGCCAGGGACGGGGAAGGCAAGGAAGGCCAGGGGATGTGAGAAGAACAGAGCTGCGTTATGTACACGCACCGACTCCCTGTGAATGAACATAATCCTCTCATGCTGCAAACACAGACTAATAAAGACTTTCTATGGTTGCTAGCAAATAAGAGTACAAAGGGTGGAAATTTGAACACTGACACAGACATACAAAGTAAAGGTGATGTGGAGTCTGGAGAGACGGGGAGAAGATGGCAGACTTCGAGCCAGGGACAGAGACCTGGTCACCTCCCTCGCTCCAGGCCTCAGAGGAGCCAACCTACGCACTCCTCGCCATGGGTCAGCCCTGTAGGCCACCCGGTTGGTGGCACGTCTACATCAGACTGACAAATCCATACCAGCGAGGAAGGAATTATCTTCATCCTACAGCAGAGGATGTGAAGCTGGGGAGGCAGGGCCCAGAGCCTCGTCCAGGAAAAGCAGGGCTTTGGAAGCCTTTCCTCCCTGTCCTGGGGGCCCTCTCAGGAAACAGGACCCCTGGGGGCACTGCAGTCTCCAGCACCCAGAACAAACTGCCTTTAACCTGCAAACCGAGAAGCTTCTGTAACTACTCCCTGCTACCAAGGCTCTCCCCGGTGCCCACGGCCCCAGCACCTGCTTCCCACAGGGGATGAGAGGATCTGATTCCTGGCAGCTGCTTCCTTGTTTACACTGCCAAGTCCTGCATGAGGCCACAGCTCTGCAAATCAGAGAGCCAAACCTCAAAAAAGCACCCAGTACTGCCAGCCTGGGCCTCTGGGAATTGTTTGAACCTGCAAACACAGTGCTGTCCCCTTCCAAGTTCACCACCCTCCAGGAGGCCTGTCACTTTCCAGCCCTCAGTCAGTTGGGCTCGGGTGGGGGCAGGGCCTGGACTATGGTGCCTTT